TAGAAATAAAGGAAAAAAGGTGAGTTTTGTGACTGTATTGAATTTATTGGTAGGATGTATAGTATAACCAGAACCAGGTTGCTTTAATAATTCGGGATTATTTTCTGCACTTTCCTTTTTGTAAGGTTGTTTTTTCTTTCGTTGTGAAAAACAGAAAAAAAACTTATAATGCTTATAAACTTTATATAAGTGGGTACAAAATACGAGTAGCCCTGATTTCTAACTGCTAGCCACCGCGTGTCATAACTATCGATCACTATATTAAATAACGTTGTATAACGCGGTAACGTTATTCATCACACGCGAGCGATAACGTTTATGTTGTTATTTAGTTTGTCTGTGGTACGATTCGCGCGGAAGTTGGTGCTTTTCTCGGCCAATCAGTAGGTATCCTTAAAAGAATATTGAGGAAACTCGACTAAGTTGTTTTTATTTGTATTACATAATCTTTTTATTAGCTCAATTAAACTTTTTCGAGTGCTGCTCTGTTTGCTTTATTCCAGCTGTACCGAGCACCGAAACCACTTTCGCACTTTTCCAATTTTGTAAACGGTTTCGTTACGAGATCGGTTGGAGTGGGGCAAAGTGTTTTGGTACGCAACGCGTGTATTAAGTTCCTTGTTGAATAAACGGGAGATTGCGCGGATTATGTACGACGGGCATAATCATTAAAATAATTTATTTTGAAACACTTTTGGTTGAGTTATGGTGTTAGGTACATGGGGATTTATTATGTTAATTAGGTAGAGGTGTCGTTAGTTGAAAGATTTTTTTTATTTTACTATTTTGTTTACTTTCACCGCGATTTTGTTTACGTAGTTACTATTCTTTTTACAACTTTTAGAAAATTTGTTATTTTTCAAAATAAGTACCTATGTAGGTGCCAATGAGCACCAGCCCCTAGGATTGGTTCATCCCTTCCACAAATAAGTAGTTAACTAAATTGATTCAACCACTTAGACGTGAGGAGAATCGTAATCTGTATGTTAATAAAACAACTTGATAATGTAACATTGTCTTATCATCCCAAAAAATACCTGTAATAAAATTGTAAAAATGGTTCTCTTACAATTTTTCACATTTCTTTTCTTCTTATGGATAAACCCAAACTTTGGGCTAAAGAAATTTAGATTGAAGTATCTGACATGATAGGCTTTCCATGTTCATCCTTATTTTCCGGTTCCAATTTTATATTATCTCGTGAGGCTGTTTTTCCAAGAGATAACATCTGACAGTTTCATCGACTTTTTTAGGGTCGCTTTTACCCGCGGGCACATGTTTATTCGATAAAAAATCGAGGTTTCGAAAATACTACCGAATGGCGAGTGAAAAATAGTTGTGTTTTATTTCTGCTCGCGAATATGATCGTGATGTGTTGGTAGAAATGGGAAGTTAAAAATTTTATTTCATTTTTCTCTGTACATTTTAATTAATATTGAATACTACATGATATTTTACTCACAAAGAAGTAAAAATAACAGTTGGATTTTATAGTAGGATAAACTGAACCTTTTTTATAATAAGGAAAATTTATGCACCGCATCAAACACTCATGAGCTCCGATTATGCCCACACTGGTCGATAACGCTCTGACATGACACTGCCCCCTCCTAATCGGCTCATCCGTTTCAGAGATAAGTCAGAACAAAAGAGAAACCGTCAGACTGCATTATGCCTATATTCATAAAAAAGTACCCACGTTTTGATGCAAAACACTTTGTACTTAACATCAAAATATTATACAGGTGTCCCAAAAACAATGGATAACCTTACAACTATCGATAGGCTCCTCAAGATCTCTATAATATCAAAATTTTGACCTTAGTAAAAATATCACAGATTTAAAGATTTTTTTTTTGGAAAATTACCTTCCATCTCTGATTAGATTTTCTCATGAAATTGAACAAACTATGTAGTTCCAAAGTATTTAAAAAAATAAAAATAAAATTTAATTCGTAATCCCGCATCGCAATCGCAGGTGAACATTTTCTATTTGTTAAGTAAACCATAGTGAGGCTTACAATAATTAGGTGCAAGGTTAATCATTGTTTTTGTTACACTCTGTATAAATTTAATCATAGATTTTAGTAGTAGTATTAGATACGTAAGGTTTTTGGACTAAGCCCCTGCTTACAGCTGAAGGATGCCCATCCATCAGAGTCACCGGTCGTGACCCGACGCGACGGCGCGGCGGCGCGCGACCGCGTCAATAAATAAACGCGCGTTTATTCTATGTGGTTCCTCATTATAGCTCATGATAGTTAGACAACCAACTTAGACGTTCTAGGTTTGAGTCTTTTAGTAAATGTCTGATTTAAAAATTAAGATAACGGATTTCACACCAATTAAGAATCCATTATTAGAAAAGAACCATTTACGGCGTCTCATGTCAATCGCGAATCTAATGTACACCGCAAATCAGTGACCTTTTCATCATTTTTTGTGCCTAGCCTACTTTGCTAAGTATTTATAAACACAAACCATTAAAGTTCTCGCCAAAAAGTAAGTTGGTTACACCTAGGAATCTAATTCTGAGTAAGTACAGGTAGTCTTACCACTACCACTATCACGGAAACGTTATCACTATCAGATTATCAGTACTAAGCCGCACGCAGTGATCTGTGATTTGCAACGAAGCGACACCAGCGGCGTCAAACCCTTGTCAAAGTCGCACGCTCGATGGCGATCCGCGGACCGCACCAATAAATAAACTAAAGCGAACGCCATAAACCTATGTGATTAATTTTTTTACACCACCCTTTTCAAAACTCATAATTTTGTTTCTTTTTTATTAAATTTAGATTAAAAACCGAGTAACTAAGAAGATTATTTTGGGGCCATTAAAGCACGGTTTAAAGACCCATAAAAAGTGGTTTAGTTCAATTTAATTAACGATACCATTCGTTATTTAGTTGTGTTATTGGATGAATTTTTTAGACAAACAGTCATTTAGAGTTATAATTTGACCTACATGCATACGGCTAAATACAATTAATTTATTTTGCAAGTGTACTTAAAACATCTCAATAATGATCGTGATTGACTTTGTCAGATAAGTAGGTACTCGACATATTATTGGACGTACCTACTACATATTTTATTCCTCTATCAAAACTGCCATGAAACATCAATGTATTGGAACAAGATACATTTTACTAGCCCATAATAGTTATTAGAGGTTATGTATTAGATAAACAATCGTCGTTACAAGCAACGGTCGTAATTAATCTTGTTATGAGATAAGATACTATGTCTATAGTATTTTGTATGTAAGCCTCCGGCGAAGTCCGAAGGAGATTTTGTGACCAACTGAGCTTGATAAGGTTTTATGACGTATAAGGGTTGATTCACATTTAACTGGTTTTACTAAGTTGTGGGTTTACAAATGAAAGAATTTTAAATGATTACAATAAGCTTGATTGTAAAATTACACGCTTTTATTTTATTACAAAAAAAATCTAGCGTTTTATTTTTCAGATTTGCGGCCAATAAACTGTGCCTCATAGCTACAGCTAGAAAAATAATTTTTGTGTGAAGTTAGCTGATGTATGATGATGTTATTGCAAATAATGAAATTTCAAATCACGACTAATATTATTTTAAGGATGAAATTAACACGTTATCAATTTTAATCCAGAAGGCAAACGATTCTAAAGTTTCGTTTTAGAGCAAGTGCGCACTACAGCCTCAAATCCTATCAACAGTTGCAAACAATTTTGTATTTTCTTTTTTGCACACCACATGTTTGTGGTAAGCAATCAAAAAAAAACTGTGACGCCACATTTTATTGGTTTGAAACGGGAAACGTTGCACTGAGTAATAATTTTACTCTGAACTAGTACCATTTTGATAATTCGTATCTAACTTTATAAGGCGTGTAGGTTTGTTTGACAAGTTGTCACCAAGCTGGACATCAGTACGCATATAATCGAGCCAACCAGCTGCAAACCGCATGTTTGGCAAATTGACAACAATTTTGATGCTAAATAATATGTAAATTAAGTTGTAACTATTTATGTGCATTGTGTTGGCAACATTGAAATGCCAGACATAGTTACAATGGATTGTCAAAATACAATGTTTGATGGGTCTACAGAAAAAGACCGTACTTACAATTTTCTCAAAAAGGGCCGTCAACGCTTCAGAAAATATTGTAGTGTTGCTAATATCAATCGTAGAAAGCAAGCAATTAATTTGTTTACCAAATTCTTGAATATTAAAAAAAATCAATTAGATTAGGCAATCTAATTGAAATGAGTACTGCGCTGAAATGCATTAGTGATACACTAAAAACTAAAGATATTTGTTTGTTGATACATGTCTACTATGTTTTATTTTTGCAATAAACTTTAATTTAAGATTTTCAAGTAAGCTGTATTTCATTGGATTTGTACATCTTGTATTTCTTTAAACATACATAGCCAAATGTTGATCAACCATTATGTGGGCTGGTATAAGCCGAGCAAGCTTCGTCTTCCAGATAGAAGGGCATAAAAGTAATCTCGCACCGTTCTCCGAGTCGCCAGTCAATTTGTTTTTATGGTGATGCTCTCCGCTTGTTACCATTCTATTATCGTCTCTAGTTTGAATGCGGTTCTAACTTTTAAAATGTAAATTGCTTTAATGGCCTCTATTATACTGGTTTCTAGACTGCACATTCAGACCAGCCATAGTAGTAGTAGTAATAATGGCAAATTTTGACTTTGAATAGATAAAAGAGTGTATGGCTATCCGAAATAGGAAAGCTTTGTAATGCTCGTTGCTAAAATTTATACGAAAAAGAAAATAGAACGCAAAGAATATTCAGTCAGATACAGAAGTGGTGATTGTTTGTGAACTCGATAGTTGTTACACCTTTATACTTATAGTACATAGTACCTAATTATAATTATTATGCTCGAGTTTAGAATACAGACTTATTTCAACATTTTTAAAATAATTTATCTCATTAGACAACACACATTCTGTTGATTACAGTAGTAAGATTAGTAGCTACTTACCTGACGAACTCCAAAGAAAAATCAGTCGCTGGATCGCTCGGCTCGTCCCAGCAAGATGCAGCAGCGTCGCTGAAAAACTGCGCCTGCGCCGACCAAGCGTCACACGCATGTAAAACTCTGCGTAGCGCTCCCACTGCCATGCGCACTGCCGCTTGTACGAATGCGCGATCTAAAAACAATAGTAAATTAACATCTTGTAGCTGTTTTTTTTTACAATACAATATCTCCTAAGTAACTAAGGCTGGGTTGCACCATCTTATTTTAACTTTGACAAAAGTCAAAAATCTGTCAAATTCCATACAAAAAACGCCGGTTATCGTTATAGGTAGTTAGGTCAAAGTTCAAAGTTAGGTGGTGCAACACAGCCAAGTGTCTATTTTTTACACCATTAGAATTATAATAGCACTTGATTTGCATTAAATTTAGATTTATTTCTTCTTAGCCGACGGTACCTAGGTACATCATGCTAAGAACTATGGCATCTTTAGAAGTTAAAGTGGTGATTTTGCTACAAAAATCTTTCTCTGTTTTGCTGTTGTCTGTCGTTAGCCTATTATGGAAATCTAATCAAAGTGGTATGACTATTAAATACTAATTTTATACAACATTGTTAATACTCACCGATTTTCATTGGCTGTGGATGGAGTGCTAACAGTCCTATAGGAAGATTATCTATAATTGCAGTCACGTTATCCTCTTTGGTAACCTCATCATATTCCTCAACAAACGGGTATTTTTTTCTTTTTTCAATAGTATCTCTAACATTATGCATTTTAGCCATATGCACCGTGGGATTCATTAGAAAATCACTAATATCACTTGAATATAATACCCTATCTTTCAAATTTCTAATTTCATCTCTACTATGAATGAGTTCTTGCTTAAGTAAATTATTTTCAGCGGTAACGCTTCCTATATTTATGCTATTTACATACTTATTAAAGGATTCATTTTTCGTCTTACTGTAGCTAGTTGTTCTACTACTATCTCTATATAGGAAGGACATCTTTCCCTTCTCAATTGAATTCTTTTCGATTTTAGAAGTTTCAACGCCTTTACTATTTACATAATTATAATTCCTTACATCCTCTGAACTAATATTGCGACTACTATTCAAATTTTCACTAAAATTTATACTTAATAATTTGTTATTAACAGTGTGCGCTTCCGACTTATTTATATCCCTACTATTACGAAGTAAACTCAATTTTATTGAACTATTTATGCTATCTTCAATACTTTTATTAATATTTTCTTTAAAATTTATTTCCCGCTGTTCTTCTGTATTACGACTTATATCTTTTACTATATTATTGTCTGCATCATCTCGTTTACGGCGTTCTATAAGGTCGCCCCTAAAAGCCTCGTCTTTATCGCTGAAGCTATCGAAATCTTCATGGTTATCGTCTTGTATTTTGTTGCTGACAGTGTGGAAGACGTCAAGCTCCTTGGAAGCATCGATCCATAACCAGAAAAAATGGCCATCAAGCATGTTTAGACGTCTCGCTTCATCCATTACAAGCTTGGCGTAATGGATGTCACATATCAAAACGATAACACCTCGTGTAAGTCTTGAAACCTCAGCAAGCCGTCTGTAAATATAAAACATACTTAATTCAAAGTGAAAAGTAAATATCTAAAATATTGGCAACCCTTTTTGTACTGGCGTATAAATAGAAATGTGATTGCAACAAATTACAATAAGAAAATAATAAAAGTGTAATAAATACCTGAAAAGAGCATGGCGAGAGTATTTTGTTGGGAGTGAAAGCCATTTAGGATTAAGCGGTTGCGCGGTAAGAATGGAAGAAAGGTCTTTTCTTAGTGACAATGTTGAATAAATGTCTTCCACGGCGAGCAAGGTGAAGGTATGCCAATGGGTATGCATAAGAGTTGCCCTGTGGAAAAAACAAGGAGAAAAATGTTATATTTTGAAACTAGCTTTTATTAAGGTGAATAATATTAAATAATTTCAAATGCGTACCGTAATGCGTGTAAAGTTTCCCTCGCTGTAATTTCTAATCGGATCTCAAGAGGGAGCAGGTCCTGCGAACAATGTATTGATTTATAAATTTAGAAAATATATGGGCGACCGTAATAGTAATGTCCCGGTCATGTCCTGCTTTTAAAGAGCGTTATTAGTTCACGTCCCACCGTAATCGGCGCTAAAGTGAGTTATAAATGACCATCATTTTCCGAGACACCAACCCCGCGCTCGCATTTCGAGTAAAAAGAAATGTCCTGAATATCGCTTCAAAAAAGTTGCCGTCAAAACGAGAAATGTCCTCAAGTTCTGAGATATTATGCACATCGTAAAATCTGATTCATCTCACGCATAACAAATTCCGCTGTTCTTTCCCTATTCTTACATAAGCATACTTCAGTGGTCTGAGACATCTTCACCTTTTTACTTTTCGTGATCCAATTTCTACCTCAATTTGTTTAAAGAACAACAACAGGCTCTCTGTGGCGATGTTGGTAACAAAGTTGAATAACGTAATTTGAATTTAACAGGAAAGCAAGCATTTAATGTTGTTTAAATCCACCAGGATGCTTGCTTAAGGCGATTCAAAGGTACCGATTTTGTGTAGTTAAGAAAATTACCTTGCTACTATTTGGCAGGATTCTTAAATGTGAAGTTTAATTACATGATTTGGCACTGAGGCGTCACATCGCGTAATATATTACGCGGACGTGTCAACGGTGTTATTACTAGGCATAACCGCGGTAGCCGCGAAGATGATGTATGGGCGTAACTATTATCATGCTTGTCTGCTTAGTATTCGGCATTTTTGTACATGCTTGATATTACACAGTCATGTGTAGTCACTTTTAATATAGGCCTCAGTTATTATTCGATGTCGCGTCCCTGAATGAATAGCATAGTTCTATAAGACTAAGTGTATTCCTTCCTACCATATTCTATTTGAAAAATGACGAGCCATGTGACTTCAAATGGGACTTGTCATGTTTGCTCCCTCCGTTTCAATTTGGTGTATTAATTGAATACAAAATGATTAAAGTACACCGTGAATAAAGCCTTCCTTAATTTTGTTTGGCTTATTTTAATGGGAGTGCCTCGGCGAGGATTATATTGAAGTGAAACTTAAATTTGAGAGCTTTCAGCCGCATTACTTTATTTAATGTAAACATTCTTTACCTTCGTTAAACAAAAAGTATTTTGTTACAAAATTATTTGTTACCTCTGAACTTATGATGATGTTTCTAAAAATACACAGTCTCATCTCTTGATGCCTAATTCACCTTCAAAATTTATCAAAATCACTGGACTTTGAATGGATAGTTGAGATAGTTATGTACACAAGGGTACAAATACAAATCACAGTGATACGCAAAGTATCCACGACTCCTCAAGTATGAATCAGAATCAATTTTGACCCCACTTACGGCAAATAGCCTTCCCAAAACCGAAACATATGGGAGTTTCAAGTTTCAAGCGAAAAAGTTTTCGAACTAGGTAGGTTAGTAGATTAAGGGATTATTAAAAAAATAGGAATATCGACGTCTAACCAATCTAAATGAACATTACATAAATACGCACAACAATTCAAATGGAACGAAGTCTAGGATTGGATTTCCTAAAGGGAAATGAAACAAATGACATTCGCAGTTCCCACGGGAGACTTACCGGGTTAATGAGTTGACTTGCATCCATTTGTTCCCACATTACCAAGGTTTAATCCGTCAACGTATCATCGTGCCGAGAATATAGTGATGCGTAAATTATATGGGACAGTTTGAAATGATAGCATTTCTGTGCCAAGATGCAAAGTTGTATGTAGTGAAAATAATTTCTAAAATTTTGATACCGATAATAAAAAGAACTACAGTTATGTTTTTAGTTCGAAACAATTAAGGATGATTTTGGTTCGAGCCATGTTTGAGTTATTTAAACTTGATTATTCAGAATCAGTAAAAAATTAAAGTTCAGCTTGATGAAAAATTATCGTATAAAATAGCATTAGAATAAAAAAAGACAAGCATACTAGTAAAAGTACTTAATACAAATTTTTGTACTAAGCCATACTGTCGGAAACCAATTGATCCTTATTTATTAGGAGGCTTTCTTGTAACCATTGAAAGGCACGTACAACCGTTACATCATAGGGTGGCTGACTATTGTGGCTTTATCAGTGCATGATTAATGGCATTTATGAATGGAATCCTTGGCAAGTCACTATACGGCGACAACCCGCTTTTTGTGATGCAAAGCTACCATTAGTACACAAACTGCCGCGATGAGTGACGTCGCTTATGCCGACTGTGTTTCAGCCATTTTGTTTTCTTCATTTTTTAATTTCAAACTTCAAAGATAAGCCGAAACCCACGCGAACAGAGTCACTAGCAAAACTTAGTCACGCATTCACGTGGTAAACAAACAAATCAATTGCTTGTTATCCTTTATTGTACTAAAGTCCAATTGATGGTTATGCAAATTTTATATCATCTGGAAAACCATTAATTCACTCCGTAAATGTGACCCGACCATTTTTTCTTCACACATAAATGTAGGACGGTAATCAGGGGAGCGATTTCAGATTTATTGGTTAGCCATCTTGGAAATAGGTCAGGCGGAAAGAATATGTTAGCTTCTAAGCTGTATTTAATAATAATTTTCTTTAGTGACCTAGATTGAACTACTATATAATGGGTAAGTTAATTGATACCAAACGATGACTTTCATAGCGAAGCAAAAGTTGCTTTAACTTTTCTGTATTGTTTTCATTCCTTATTGGAATACTTCTTTTAAGAATAACCCGTCAAGGATAACACATTTCCATATAAAAATAAGATGTAAAGCGTGCTAACATAACTCGAGGCATCCGTAGCTTGGGCTAACACAAGGGACCCATCAAACCCCCAATTTATTTATATTTGGTAATATTTATATCAGAGTTTCACTGAGCGGTCGTTTAGGGAACTTTTCTCTTAAAACTTTAGTCTGCCCAGGAGATGAGTTATGGAAAGTACTTAGGTCTATTCGCTTTACCAACATTCTTGTATTTACTTTTATCAACATTATAAAGACAAAGCGTCTGTTCAACTTGTTTCGTCTGGAGTGTTCGTCACTGGACAGCTCACATCAGTCTTTGTCTCTATTCAGCTTAATCTTGGGGATTAGTTACTAAATCTATGGCATGAATCCTGAAACTCGCCACAATTCCTCTTAACGATTTCAATACTTCGGTTCTATCTACCTCTCTCGCTTATTTAGATTTACTCACATGAGTAAGTGAGACACGAGTAAATTAGTCGCCACTGATTTGATGTACTGAGCTATTGAAGGTCCATGTATTGAATTCCCGTTTCTCTTCCAAATAGCCATTAACGGGTTGTCAAATTAAATTAGGTTGTATCCGATGGGAAGTTGGATTAATCAACTCGCAAAGGAGATTATCACTGCCCGAATATAAACCTGCGATCGTATTCGATCCATAATTATGTACGACAGCACGTCAAGCTTAATACTGAAGCATCCTATGTGGATCCTAATAGATAGGACTTTTTTTGTAAAAAATATGTGTAGTCGAATATGCTGTAAGAATGATACACAGTTTCCTGTTATTAAAGTATATAAGTTCACACAATGCATAGCCCCACTTTATTCAGTATCTTTACTGGCTGACCTTCGCAACAGAAGGCATGCTCCTGATATGCCTGCCATAGGGAAACCAAAACAGCAATATATTACGGTCCCCGGGGCAAACCCAACTGTTTTTCTTGACAGATCTTGACAAACAAATGGCCAATGAAGACCATAAATTAAGGGCAATAGGGCAAGCGAGATTAAGTTACGTTTTTATCCTACGGCATCCAGACAAAAGCTTTTAGTTCGTGTACTTTGAAAAATTTGAATAAGTAGGTATACCTTACTCTTTGGACGGTGAAAGGTCTTTTACAATTCTCAATTTTTATGCATTTCTGCACTTTTCTTAAAGCGCGTCAGGCGTTGAACTCTACCTTTTAAAGTTCTCTACCAGTATAGTTTAATCTCTGGTCTTTTAGTTTAAGCTACCTACATCAAGGGTTATTTATCGCACGCTAGCTAATCCCTTATGGAATTTCACACGTGACGGCACGTGACGATGTGGTTTCGGAGCTACGTGGGCAATTGTCGATCACTGTAATGGAAAATGAAGATTGAGGCCCTTTGAATAAACTTTAGCACTACTACTACTTCAACTAAGTTCCAATAAAGTGGTATCTGATAAATAATAGTGTCTTGGATAAAAACTTGTAAATACAAAAAAAAATACAAAACAGATTATCATGACGGATACAGTGATGATTGTACAGTGATTTTAATTGTACAAGCTATAATCTCATGAGAGTCATAGAGAGAGTATAAGGTACAGTGGTGTACTGGGTGGGAGAGATTCCCCAACCCAAATAGACGACTAGACGAATACGCCATCTGGGCAGCGTATTCAAACTCAGAAATCCTTCATTGGCATCTGGTACCTACAGATGTCGTGCAACTGCCATAGCGAACTAAATGACCTGATACGATGATGTCCTCTCTCACTCACATTGGCGATGGTATAAGAGAGATGCAGGTGCGAAGGCGAGGTGCGCAGGATGGGGACTCCGGCGCGGGCGATGACCGACACCACGGCAGCAGCCGCAAGTAAGACTGCCACATGCCGCCCACCCAGACTGTTAGCTGTCTCACTCACATTGGCGATGGTATAAGAGAGATGCAGGTGCGAAGGCGAGGTGCGCAGGGCGGGGACGCCGGCACGAGCGGCGGCGGAGACCACGGCGGCCGCCGCGGAGCCGCTGTCTTGAGTGGACTAAATGACCTGATCAAGACTAGCTCTTTCACTCACATTGGCTATGGTGTAAGAGAGATGCAGGTGCGAAGGCGAGGTGCGCAGGACGGGGACGCCGGCACGAGCGGTGGCGGACACCACGGCGGCCGCCGCGGAGCCGCTGTCTTGAGCGGACCAAAATGACCTGATAATAATGATAAGCTCTCTCACTCACATTGGCGATGGTGTAAGAGAGATGCAGGTGCGAAGGCGAGGTGCGCAGGACGGGGACGCCGGCACGAGCGGCGGCGGACACCACGGCGGCTGCCGCGGAGCCGCCGCCGCAAACCAGCAGGACTGCCACGCGCCGCCCGCCCAGAGCGGAGCACGTGCGCTCCAGGACTCGCGCGCTGAACCTGGGAAACAGACAGTTATTGTTTAATATGTCATTATTGTTACTATCAAATTGACGTTATTTATTAGGACATTGAAATTTTACTTTTCACCTCTGTATGCACGTTGAAGAAGCGAGAAAAAAATCGTCCATACGTAGTTGTAATAAGAGTGATTTTTCTACAAACATTATTGTTTAGTTTGATGAGCAGCCAGTCATTATTGTTTTATGAAAGTTAAACGAAAGTGCAACGTGCCCATTGATAATGTTCCCCTAACAATACGAGTAGCATCGTGCAATTTCGTTATTCAAATCGTAAATCTTCAAATCAAAGATCGTCCAATTTCATGCATCACTTCATCTAAATTCCATTTGACCCAAAGGTTAGTTGGGAGAAGAAAAAGTTCGAAATAAATAAAAAATATAAACATAAAAAATACACAAACAAACTCAACAAGAGTGATGGTAAGATAAGCCGAGAGAAAAATCTAGTAAGCTGTCTTGTTCGTAAAATTGGCATCAATAACAATAAAGCCTAACAAAAAACCGTGTGTACAATCTTTTGTTTATGTCCGTGCCACAATCGATCATAGAAGTTAAGAAACTTTCACCCCATGCAATGGAAGATGGATGGCCTAAGAAATGCTTTCATCTTACGCCCGTATTCACAGACGATGCTTGCTTAAGTGAAGCAGCAAATCGAACGCACAGCGTTGAATAGAGCTTTGTGGTTCGTGTGTGACCCTATGCGTCCACGCGCACTGTGAGACCTCATAGTAATATTTGTGAATACGGACGTTAGTCTCTCAGGCCTTTGGAAACTAAAAAGCCAATGTAACGACACAAAAACATGGAGCTGATTAGTATTTTCATTGAAATACCACGATCATTATTTCTGAGAAAATTAATTTATACGGAAACTCGGATACTCGTACTTGTTCAATGAATTCAAAGTGTTCGTCGTAGTCGGATTGCAAGTACAGATGACAGCACATGAAACTGAACACTCATCTTATTCAAGTTGGAATAGGAGCGATTTTGCGACGAAACTTTATAGTCTGAAGTGCTGTCGCTTGTACACCCGTCGATTGCATCGTTATTATGTTACGTCGAATAGTACAAATAGTTGTTAACTTGAATATTTCGCTGGGTGCGGTAGCACCTGCTGGTTTCATTAATACCTTTGAGGCTTTAGTTGCTTTAATGACGTCTTTGTAGAGCTATGAATTTTCAGTGCATTGAATCCACTAACCTACTTCTCTTGTAGTTTTAGAGTCCGCTTTCATCCTTTACATTTCCATTGCTTTACTATTTTTATACGATTTTAATAACACTAAGCCGTCAGTTTCAAAAGATACAACGACAAACAACGTTGGTTTTTCGTATTTTTTTGATTAAACATTTTTGTCGTGCCCGCATTAGCGCTGAGCACTCGTGACACGTTTTCATAAAACTTCCCAAACGGAAATGTAATTTATTCGATTCATTAAATTACGGCCGAATGCTGACTCTCAGAGAATTCTATGAGAATACGGCGTGGTGTCTAGTTCGTTTATAATGAGGGAAAAATAGGGATGGATTTTTCCCGTTTTCTTTTGTTTTAACTTTGTAAGTAAGCCCTTACATTCACAGGCTCACAAACAATAGTGATCCGTAACGACTTCACAATAATTGAGTGTGTGTACTACCGCCGTTATTTCATTAGGGCGGTGTTTAGTATGTAAAACAATGTGCGTATCAACAGGTTACTAAGAAATACTTGTTGTGTGTTTAGGACGGTCTTGAGTTTATTTATATGAACAAAACGATAGAAATAATGACGTCATAATCTACTAACTTTTTATTTCACACAAAGTTCTGCTTTTTATTAAGCTGTAGTGAAAACTTTATGGTCATATTGTTTAGTTTTCATAAGGATTTTAAGGCATTCCGCTAAAATACAAAGAGTTCATCTTACTAAAGAGTGATGATGACTTTTAACAAGCCACCTGTATAAATTGTTTCAAAAGATTTTCCCTTGTAGTTTCAGGCTTACCTATCATGATTTAACTATTTTGGAATACACTTTACCATACATTAATCAGTAAGTAGGTAGATGAGGGTAATTACTTGTTTGTTCACGGTTCAAAAACTTTATTCTTTATGGTGAGTTCACATCATGACACTTTCCAACTACTATAGCCCTTTCAGGACGACCTAACACGTTCGTGCACGTTATTTCAAAAAATTCCCGCGACTTTTCTAACCAACTTTTCGGGCCCAAGACGCTAGCCAACGATCGTGCATCAGTCTGTTTATGAATTAAACGCATAGGTGTGAGAGAGAAGGCCGTCAGTGTTCTTTGACACCGAGGTAAAGATGTCGACCTCTTTTGTTGAGCGGAGTGGTCAGCGTTAGTACTAATTATTTCGTGATTAATTCAACTATTTTACTAGAATTTTGGTTTTAATATTTTGTTTAGTTAGTAATGTAATTCGGAAAATAAAATTTTTGGCATTATTTATTTTGCAGTGGGAAATATTACCTCTCAAAATTTTGTTTGCACGATAGTGACGATCCGACTCAAACCCAACATTCGGTGACATACTTTGTATGGCGGTGAACTATTCTATTTTAATGCTTTCAATTAAATTTCGGCTTTTAGGAACAGAATTAACGGGTGAATTGTTGCTTCAGCTTATTGGGCATGTCAATTATTCCGAAATTGAAGAGATGGAACATGATGAAGGCAATGTAGAAGTCTTGGTTTGCCATTGATGCCTACTGATGAGCCTCAATCACCTCCAAGACCAGGTCCATTGTCAGTTACTGTGCCAATAGCTTTCTAAAAGTCGTCGGAAAGCCATGCGACTGGCCAAAGGGTCTTGATACAGATGCAATTGAACCAGAGGGATTATTACTATCCAGAACTATTGTCAGCAGTAGTAGTCTCCTTTGACCTACAGTGAAGGCTTTTGACGATATGTTTTTTAAACATGCAGCTGTTTGGACCAATAATTATCCGCAAAACGGGAAAAGTATTGAATACCCCAGCAAAAAACTTCAAAAAGTAGTTTGAATTAATTTCTTCATGGAATGTATTCCGTCCCCACGCATTCACGTGTATTGGCGTCGAATAGAATGAGATTAGCTTTAGTTGCTGACAACATTTTCAGATATCTTTTTTGAGTTTTAGTGTGGCTTTCCATGTTGTAAACAGTGATGAAGCTCCTGCAGTAGGAAAACCAGAATTGAGTTTCGGAAGGAAGAGTATGCTGTGCCTACTCAAGTCTAGAATGCTTGAGACAAAGTAGAAAACCAACATTTTATTTATTCCGTAGACGAGCAAATGGATTTTATTCTCTGGGACATGTTCACATGGTTTATGACAATTAAAAAAACAAAGCCACATTTACAGGAGCTTTCGTCGCTACTAACCATGATGGTTTGATGATTGACTTCGAAGTTTATCAGGCCGCAACAATAAACTTTCAAGATCTCTAGGTTTTTGAACTTCTGCAATTCTTCATCTCTCTCAAGTAGATTGCAAGCAGTTAACTCTGTAGCTTTTGACAGGTTTTTCTCATCCATACTTTTATTCGAGAAATTTAATAAAATGGGGCTTCATGGGACTGGCACAATTATGAAAACTGAATTTCTAGGACGAAAAATAAGGACATCAAGCAAGACTCCCAAATATTCATTAGTAATGACATTGTTATTGTAAAATGTATGGATAATAGATAACAAACCCGTCTTAGTAGCATCCAATTTTACATCAGGAGAGGATTTTTTCCTCATCAAGAGATTTAATAAAAATCTACTAGTGCCTACCGTTTTAGCTATTTTTAAATGATTTGTAAATTAAATCAGATATATTACTTAAAGTTCCTTCGCCTTTTAAGAGTATTAAAAATATATGTTTCTAAATATTTTATTGTTTTTTAGGTTTTTAACTTCAAAACCTGACACCGTCACTTTCGTGCAGTAAATTAATTTAAGCCTGAGCGTCACGATCGTGCTGGGTCCCCCCATGCAGAGAGGGGCGAGGGGGATTTTTAAAATTATTTTTTTGGAGTACCTTATACAATAATAAAACATGTTATGTAGTCAAAAACGTTAATTTTAAAAAATCTGAAATCCGGCCTGAAAGGGATAGGTGATTAATTACATGACCCTTTACAGAAAACTGTGAACCCGTCAAGTAATTATGGAGATAAACGGGTCACATAAATAAGCAATCTTTCATCATAAACACACACGTCGTGAGTAAAAAGAAGTACTAATAAATATTTTAACGTTTACTTCAAACTCATTTAAGAAGAGTCTTCTAATTAAAGCCGTTCCTCATCATCATCATCGTTTCAGCCATAGAACGTCCACTGCTGAACATAGGCCTCCCCCAATAATTTCCACAATGGCCGGTTGGTGGCGGCCTGCATCCAGCGCCTTCCTGCTACCTTTATGAGGTCGTCGGTCCGCCTTGTGGGTGGAAGTTTAAATAAAGTCGTTGCTGGTTCCAAAAAGCTAACCTCACTCTACAAAACCTACCTTATGTGGTTTCACTGACGGCCAATCCGTAGAACCTAACTATACAGAAATCGCAGTTAAAGAACGAGAGAATTCGTCTGATACTTTACTAAGCTGCGTTCAATGAAGCGGCTCTCGATACAGCTCTTTGTCCTAAAACTAAGTTTCGATTCAATCGAATGATGAATTCGTCCTATTATTAGCAGCTAATCTGCATGAATGAGTCAATTACAACCGCATTCACATGCAACGGATCATTTACACGAACACCGCACTGACCTATTTGCGAGAGCGACAACATACATCCTGCTTGAATCAATTAATTCCTTACCAGCATAGTAATTGATGTTTCCACCTTGTACTAACTTAACTGTGCATGGGAAATGAGATGAGAAGAGAAACTTACAAGCTTCCTTCAGTATCGAAAAAATGATGAATTTTCAAAGATATATTATACGTACAGATCCTCGAAAAACATAACCCTTCTTCTGGCGCAGTCGGGTAGAAATAAGTGTCATGCGATCATTTTCAATTTTTTAGTAATAAAAATTGAAAATGATCGCGTAGACGAAACAAAAATTGAAAATGATCGTGAAGGACATCTCGAAGTCTCGAACAGTCTATTAAAACAAATTAATGCAATGTCTAGAAATTTTCAAAGTTAGTTGCACGCTTATTAGGGACTCGGTTGTAAAGTGACACAGCCTGCTTAAATCAATTGACTTCTTACCTTCAAGGTAGTTGATGTTTATGGACCTTAAAAGTTACTTTCAGCTTCGAAAAAACTGAAGCACAAAATAATAATAAAAAATAATAAGACATGAAAAGACTCACAAGTCCTGACAATAACAGTTGTTTTTACCCGACTGCGCCAGAAGGAGGGTTATGTTTTTTATTTGAGTGTTCAACAATACATTTTAAATTGGTTGAGACTTGAGTTTCAATATTTAGACGCATCACAGGCATTTGAAGCTAAGCTTGAGTTTCAATCGAGTATTGGATTATAATAGAAGCCTAAGACATTTTCAGGCAGGTATTTTAATAGTATTACTATGGCTAGATCACGGTAATACTATCTATACAGTATTCCAACTCGACCATATTTTTGAAATAAATGTCAACAGCCCCGCGGTACGTCACCGTATAACAACATGCGATAGGGCTGCCCACCTGCAGACCCTATTTTCATTACATCTGATCTGCCTACTTAGAATTTCTATCTAGTTTTGTAAATATATTTTGTGATTGTAATTTTTATTTTATTTTGACAAACAAAACACATTGTGAATGAAATAGGATAAAAATGCATGTTGTCTTGTCATTAGTAGATTTAATTAAAAAAATATATTTGTGTTAAGATTTAGTCGAGCGCATACCGAGATTTGAATTTCGAAGGAAAGCTCGCGTTTCGTCGGTTTATATCATGGACCTATATAAAAAGTCGGACGGATTCTCATCAACAAAATACTGTGACATTAGGATACACCAGCTTGCCTGTACGTACAGGCCGGCACGCACACATTCACACCCTGTTACACCACTTCGAGTGCAAACTTCACACAGTTGACACATTTAAGCAGCGAAAAAACAACACGAATACGACATGTCTTGTGTGATGAAATTGTGTAAAAACCGTTCTGTTCGAACAAACAAAAATTAAGGAATCACATTTCACAGGCAAAATAATAATCCAATCACTTATTTCCCGACATTAAAATATTGAAATTAATTGAAATCAAACGTCATTCACTCGAAAAAATAATACGTCAAAGACCAGTGTTCTCAGTTATTTACGTGGGAAAATTACCCGAAATATGGGAAATTAATAATAATTTTAGGACTTTTTAGTTATGTATTACGCATACTATGGAAATAAAATAATTTATCATAATAATTGTGTTTTAATGGGATATATTTTCATGGGCAAATTTGATCCTTCCCAAAAATGTGGAACTGCGAAATTCAAATTTTCTTACATTGATTGCAAGTCAGTGTCAGGTTGTATGTTAAAAAAAATCTATCAGAGATAATAATAATATATTGATGATGCATAAGATTATGATTATAATGTACACAAGATTCGTAATTTGTAACTGCGTGAATCATTTTTGATCAACATTATGTACATACCCTGACACACTGACTTGCAAACAATGTAAGAAAATTTGAACATTGAAAATTTCACGCCTACCTCAACGCATATACCTTTCATCCTTTTAAAATGGCACGGAATAATTCTGTCTACATTTCCAAGTAACATCTGCCGATCTATGTTTTTCTTAAAATAAATGGGTAAAATGTTTTGGCTAACATGGCATCCCTAAATTCACTCACACAATAGATAAACGCCAAAATTTTGCGTCACAGTTTTGTTGTAGCGCGAGTTCCGTCCGCCTTTTTTTATAGGTCCATGGTTTATATGAAGTTACAATACTGTATGATATTATTACCGTGGCTAGATACTCTCGAATCCAACGTTATCCAATTCGCAGTGCTTCGGTGCACGTGAGCCCGTCCGTCGAAGGCGGTCTGATTGAGTCATGTCAGAAATCCAACATCACACAATCCACAAATTACTATTGTACGCAAACATGATGTACCTAACAATTCTTGCCCATTTCAAACGCGGTGCGACAAAGCCAATAAAAATGTTAAAACTCTTATTCTATTTCAGAGCAATCGAGCTACGCAGCAAACTTTTTCATCTGGATCCGAATAAAAGATTCGTTTTAAAAAACATCCTGTATATCACTAACACGCACTTGACGCACCAACAAGATAAAGTTACTGAGAGACCACAAGAATATTTTCTAGATCAATTGAAAGACTCGCTACCTCAGAAGTAATTTGAATTTTAAGCCGTTAAAAGCCTTTGGAAAAGTCATGTCTGCCCGAGAGTACCCCAAAGTATGGAAACGGTTCGAAAGAACTGGCGAAGACGGGAGGATGCTGAGATTCGAAATCGAAGATGTACCTGAAGCATTATGGAGTACTGCAGTAGAGTTTATGCTGGGAAATTATATTAGGGAAGACGTGTGGTGGGTGGCGGCTGGTAAGTTTTTAATCGCATAATAAATCTGTTGTAAGAATCGTAAATCTACCTTAAACTTTTCTTTATGGAAAAAAACCTATTATAATTTTAGATTAAACATTTTTCACGGTGTTCTCAGTCTGGTATTTTTAGGTTATGAAGATATGGAATTGTATTTATTCCGAAATAAATTATTTCATTCATTTAACTCTTAATCGGTTGTTTACGTAATTGAATTAAAGAAAAATTATAAGAAACAAATCTACGTGTAGCGTAGCTGGAAAGATTAGGAATGCTTGCAGACGGCATTACGCATTACGCTAACCTTACACAAAGCTTAATGATGTTACCCCAAAACATCCCCACACATGTAATTACAATCCACGAAACGAAGCGATAAGTACTTAACAAACATTAATCAACGGCCAGCTAATCTGTGCGTGGGTATTTTTTGCAATTAGCTAAATCCCGTCTTATGTCGGCAAACGCTTTCTTACGCAAGAAAATACCTAAGTCATTAGCCGACCGACGACCGTCCCACCGCCCAATTATCTTGGGGACAGCGTATCTACCCCAAATGTGGTATCATTAGATGATACCCTTTTCTCACGGCCTTTCCTCCACCGCCTTCGAAATTATAACTTCATTTACGCAAGGAGAAATGCAAACAGGCACATAAATGTTAAACGCTTACTGCGAACACAATGTTATGTACCAATTGCCTGGTGTGCCGACGACTTTTAAGTTGTCCGGAATTTCTTGAGCAGTAAAAGCTTGTTTTTTCGCCAATTGGATATTAGGTAAGCTCATTTACGTTAACAGGGCAATAACAAGCGAAATCCTTTGTCTTAAAGGCAATGAAAAGGCTAATTACAAAATGTAAAAATATGTGGTCTCCAAATGGATCATTTAATTATTACGAGTGCTTAATGTTATTTTCAAGCCATAAATTGCGTTTATACCCGCTGGAAAATTATCACTTAAGCCAAATTAACATATCCACAAAAAATTAATGCCCGTGAGCGCTTGGGAACAGTGGAAAATTTTTGAGTGAATAATTGGATTCATTTTGTGCTCGTATAAATTGATTCATGAGGCGGGTTCTATTCAGTTAATGGAGACGGTGATTAATTATTCTTTGTGCTGACAGGTACAGCGAAGGATTTGGAGGCTGTGCAGGAGTACAGAGTGTTGTTGACATCGATTGTGAAGCAGAAAATGAGTTTGGCGTGTTTTCTGACTGAAGAAGACGGCTCGGGGCAGACTCTCGTCGGGGTGAATATGTGCTTGCCGCAAGAAAAGGGGCGCTTCGTCGATCACACACCGGTATAAACGACTTTTCGATTCTCCCCTTAAAATGTCTTGACTTTTGTGCTGGTTCTAGGAATGACAAAAATACATTCATTCATGTGTACGAGTACTATTCTGCTATCTACAAAGAAATATAAATATCGAATGGCTGAAATAATGATGATGATATTGTTGTAGTAGGACATCATAATTATGACAAACCTTGCAGATGATTTTTGTTTTTATTACCTACTTTTTTATCTTGAGTAAAAAAGTAAAGATTTCATTAGTTACACCCAGTAAGTCCAAAGCTACAAGCACTACTTTTAAGAAAGTATTATCGCGGCAGATCTAGATAATTTATTTTCAGTTGTTATTACGACTAGAACCTTTTTAGGTTCCATTTCGGAGCGCTGCTATAATTCCCTATCCCTGGGTCCATTCCATTTATTTCTCTCGGTTTCACCCATTCGAGGTCGACCTAGTTTTCACCCTTCATATTATTTGGAACCATATCTTCTGGCTAATGGTTATTATCATTATCACCATTTTAATTAATGTGAAGGCGATAAAATAAAAAGGAAAGAGTTGAAAGAATATTGGAATTTGAGCCTTGAGGAATATTGTGTAAATATTTCCATTACAAACTTAGGGTTCCAATCGAACAACATTAATTATATGGATTAACATAGTACCTACAACAATTACAGTATTAATTAATTAGTAGACTATGCACGGATAGGTACAATATTTGGGATATAATGGTTTCTTCGAGCTTAATTAAGTTCACTGTTTAGCACATACAGCTAAGGAATGAGTCTACCTATGAACTTAGTAGTTAATAATCTAATGCCTTCGTGGTAAAATGTATTGTATGTTGACGTTGAATTAAATATTTAAACAGTAGGTAGAATTAAGACAAATTATGATACCCTGGGGTACTAGAATTGTGGGGTTAGTAGTAGTTTCGCACGATTTTCCTTCGCACGAATGTGCGAAACGTCCCCTTTCAATAATATTTTTTTTTAGTAGGCGTTTCGCCCGGGTGTATTAAAAGTATGAAAATCGCGTGCGAATAGACTCTTTTTTGAACTAGTAGTATGCGATTACTAGTTCTCAAAGGGGTCGATTCGCACCCGTTTTTAATACTTTTGATAAATCCGAGCGAAACGCCTACTAAAAAAAATTATTATTGAAAGGGGAAGTTTAGCACATTCGTGCGAAGGAAAATCGTGCGAAACTACCACTAACCCGAATTGTGCACGGTCCACTCATATTATTTCGCGAATTGTGCACAGTCTAACTTCATAATATTTCGCAATTATTAAACCTATCTTCTTTTCCAGCCAAAAACAAAAGCCGGTCTGCTGTCACTGCGAATGTTCGCGGAAGCCATGAAGCTGACAGCGATTTATGACAAATACGAGGCGAATGAATATCTGATGGGCGCTGGCCTGTCCGTCACCCCGGAGTATAGGGGGCTGGGGGTAGCCGTTGAACTGCTGAAAACAAGGTATAATCTACTAATTATGTTAATTATATAAAGGTCATTGACACTTTTGTGTTTGTAACAAAAGGCACATTCATTTCCAATCTGGTATTTTGGTACCAAATCTAGGTTATGAAATCTTTTTTGCGTAAAAATAAATGACATATTCATTTAAAGATGTTAAAAATATAAATTTTAAATTAAATTAAAACACCTGAGTTAAATTATATTATAACTGTATGTTTCCCAAAAATAAATAAGTAATAATTTTAACTGGTTTTTGATTTGCTGAGACACAGGTTTTCTCTTGAGAGAGTCGTATAGTTTCTCGCAATTTTCTACCAGCAATATAAAAAGGCCGATAACGCAAGGCCCTGGACAAAAAAAAGATTTTATAATATGTAAATTTAGAAGCAGAAAACTTCATAGAACCATTCTAATAAATCCAATGTGTATTTCAGAAGTTTATATCTCTGAGATTTTATTTTTCTAACCGTGTTCTTTTATCTGCTTCCAGATTGGATCTATCCATGTCATTGGGCTACAAAGCAACGGGCGGAATCTTCACCAGTGCGCCCGCGCAGCGTGCGGCTGAAAAAGCAGGCTTTGAGTGCTTGCATGAGATCTCATACAAAAAGTTTGGGAAACAGTGCAACATCTCATTCAACACCGACACGGAAAGTTTGAAAATATTTGCTGCAGGCACTATGTAGCAAGTGTGTTACATGATTTATATTTTTTTTTAAATCAAGCAGTATTTATTTACTAATTAAAGTATTATTTATTGAACATTTTACTTAATAACACGTTTTCGTAATTTTATTAAATAAAATCAATCGCAAAAAATATATTGCAAATCTAACTTCATAATCCAAATACCCAACATAATTGCGACCTGAATTCCGTTACATAAATGAAAATTATTTCAATTTCACGGGAGCAACTTCCAAAAAGTGATAGTAAATTTGTAATGACATACCCGGAGTGTTTTAAATTTTCCGGAAAACAAACGTTGAACGGTGACCGAGCAGATTTTTTGCCGTGGCTCTTAGAGTTGTTTGAGATATACATATAATTTATTCACCCTTTGGGCATCTTGTAATAGGTAAGGGCGAAGGTTTGAGACGTCTGTAGTTAATTGTCTAAGTGAATGTTGGCTTTATGACTGGAGTCGGGCAAAGGAAGATAAATTATCTCCGCTTTGAGATACAACACGGTAGTCGGCAGCCATGTGTGTGAATCCTTAGAGAGTTGCCAGTGTATGAACTCGCTTTTGGAAGTGTTTTTAATGTAATAAACATTTAAACGGCCAGATACAGTTACAAAAACAAACATTTTTCAACCTAAGTCATACAGAGAAGTCATAAATCTTGAGAATGCTCCGAATGTTGGAAAATGTTATAATGTTTTAAGTGTATTTATTGTGGAATTTATAAAACAATAGATTATGCTTATTCTAGAATGTGCACCTGGTTGAACTTACGTTAAACAGACTCGATTATTATAGATCAAAATACCTAATCGTATGTAGGAACAGAACTAAAATTGTATCAATAAAAATATCAACATAAACACTGGGCTTTATTGCGTCTAGTTTTTAAAGATAGGCTTCTTATTTCCTAGATTTACAAGTCCAATTAGTATTTTTCCGCCTCTTAATGACTCTAGTTAATCCTACAAAGAACTATTCCTAGAATCTAGGCAACAGTTAACATCTCTATTTGGAGGTAAGTAAATTTTGCCACCAACTGGACACAAATGTAAGCTAAACACTAAGCAACCTGAGGCTGACATTGCGGCTAGCAAGTCCATGGCTACAGTCTGTGTACGTAGTTACCGTATATTATTGAGTTGGTAGCAAGTTTGAGATATCAAAATGCAGTCTGCTATTAAACTTGATGTTTCAGTGGTTATTATTACGTCGTTATGTTAAAGCTAGTTATTACGATTGTTTCATTAACTTGGTTCAATTCAAACTTTGGTCATTATGACCATATTGTTTCTGTTTATTATTTTATGCATTTAAAATCTATATTAATATTATAAATGCCCAAGCAACTCACCTGTTTGCATTATTATGTTTTTAACGTCTAAAAATTTTATTAATTTAAATGTAAAACTTTAAAAAAAAAAATACTTGAAGTTTATATGGAGGAGTTTCCATACCTTATGAATGGGTATTAACATTATTCGGTATACTGGAACTCACGTGGACAATGACGCAAATAATGTAACATTTAGGTACGTACTTACGTAAGAATCAAAGAGAATGGCATCAAAATTTCAAGTCTGTATTAGGATCAGTTCACAGTTGAATGATCACAAAAGACTTCTTACTATCTGTATCTATCAGAAAAATGAATATACCCGGAATACCCGCCTCGTGATACTGTCTTCAGCAGATATAGTTCAATTCCTTTTGAAACGCTACGAACATATCGGCCATAAGTAGGTACCTACAATAAAGTATTTTCAACTCTGATGTCAAGTATAATAAATTCATAGAGGCGCAATGAAATTGGATTTTCTTTTCATTTGCTCGAACAATTTGTTTCTTAGAATCTTTTATCTGCGATTTGATGATATTTTGATTTAAAACTGAATTTGAGAATTTTACCTACTAGGAAATTTCTTTTGTATTATCTATCTATAGTATCAAAGTGGTTTTGCGCATGGTAGGATGTATTAAAAACATTTGTTTTGCCATTTAATTGGAAAGTTTTACTTTGTTATTCACTCGTTTAATTTTGAAGACCAATTAAAGAATTTTATTATTATTGAATAGGCAATTCGTCAGTTGCCCTACAAGTGATAGAGTTCGCTCAACAAAAGCGCATTTTCAGCAATACATTAAGGGGATGGGGCATACAATAGTTTTCTCACGGAAAACATTTCAACTATCCTTTCAGTTCCCACCTCCTCGTTGGACTGACGGAATTATTGTATGGAGCACAATACTGACCATAAATGAAAAAGAGATGTGAAGGAAATTGGTACATATTCGTATTTTTGTATAGGCACTTCAGATTGGCTAGATATTTAACTCTTGGTGGAAATTTTCGTTGTATTTATAGTAATTCAACTGAAAATAGGTATTTAATTAAATCACGTCTTTGTACTTAATAGACAGGCTGCTAGGGTAGGATCAATTGGCCACACTCAGTAAACTTTGTAGTTCAACGATCCCTCATCGTTTCCCTTGCCTTGTACATGGAAAAATCTTATTAACCGTTTAATTTTGTTAGGTCACTGTACTTCTTATCAAAAGCTAGTAAATAAAACTAAGAGACATCCAGCGAGAGAAACACGATTGAATTAAATCCATCTTCTCCGTCAGATGGTAAAAATATTTTTAATATTCTTCGTGTCTGAGACTGTGCTGTAATTGCTTATTTATTTTGAAATGCCACGTTTAACTTGCATAATTTAAATGCTTTTTTATCATCATAGCATACCAGTTGCCTTGTCGTATTTTAATCTTACTGCCATTAACTGGGTAACAATTGGGTTACAAGTCATTTTCTGGTAGGTATACGGTATGTGGTGACTATTCGATTGCTATAAAATGTGATTACAAAGGTGTGATTTCACAATACTTACTCGTAACAATGTAATCATCTGGTGAAAGGCGACTGTGTCTAGTTGGATCCGTAACTTTAAGGAAATTGGAACAAACGCCCCCATCGCGTGTTTTCGAGGAATTAAGGAAAACAATTAGATCAATTAAACGGAGTTTGGGGGATAAAATTAAATGGCGTATTCAATTCGTAATAATTGAAATGTTAATTATTATTGTTTCAGGATTAAACGAAGACTAACATCAAAATAGATTTGGCACAATAACAAAATTAGGCAAAGCTACAATATTTTAGTAAAGACGTAGAGTCACATTGAGCCATTAGTACTAGCGGTTTTCTTGTGGACGATAAATAACTAATGTATGAATACACCAATTTAAATATTCAATCTTAATACTCTACCTCTACTAGTAAACGAAACTTTATTGCTTCTATTAGTAAATAAAAATTTAATTAAACTCGTGCATTCAGAGAATTAACTTCATTCTTCGGGTTGAAAAATAACCCGCCAATTCGGAAATCGAAGTAAACTATTGCGGTCCGAAGCCTCGGGTCCCGAATGGAAACAACTAGAACAATATCCATAAACCGTTTCACTCCGACAAGACGTGAATTGGTCTTGTTAGAGATCGAAACTTGTGATCGGATCTATTTGACATGGAATTATATTGTTGTGAACGGGTTCGCCATCCCGCAGTCTGCGTCATGGTCTTATCGATTGACGGTAGTTTTACAAACTTCTTAGAAGCGATCCAATGCAGGTTTTCCGTCCCAAGTTTTGTTCCACTAACTTTAGGCAGTCATCCGTGAAGCGGGTCCGGTCGATCGTAGCTACTCGTAGATAATATGTACTGTTTTGTTAGGATTGCTGCAATTTTTGTTATAATATTAGTGCTTTATTGCTCAATGAACTAGTTCATAAGTAAATTTATATTACGGTTAGTTGTTTAAAAATATCATTAATTTATAACGTGAAATACGACAACAGCAGAAACATGCAAATAGTGCAATAAATTTTAAACCACATTGTCTACCGTTATTTTGAGCTAAATTCTGCACCCGCTGAAAACCTGCCTCTAGCAAGCTCATTGTTTTACTCGAGTTTTATTTGCCCGAACGTGGATTAAAGATTTGATATTTGAATATGCATTTTCCTTTCTTCCTATTTGAGTGCTTTGTTTGTAGAAAAGTTGTGGGATACAACTAAGTTATTAACGTCGCTTCGTCGAAAACGGTTTTAATATTATATGACATGGCTCCCTCGTAATGTAACCAACTACAACAAAGTGTGTGGAATTCCAGAAAACTACCAGGAAGTCGGTATTGAACTTCGCATTATGAAGGTTTCAGGAAAAAGAGTTCTCAGAAATAATATCAATCTTCGTACTATTAGTATAACGTACTACTTTGTGAGAATTTAAAAATATGGAGATGTATTTCGCAAAGCATATTTTTCGTTTGAGCCTACTCTAGCTGCAGAGTTTACACGACTGAAGAAAATAGTTCAAATTGTATCGTAAAAATCTAATTCCTTATAGTGTATCTCAGGGTTACAGTAACTATTATTTTATCGTCTAGTTTATATCTCATGAGCGTATTCGATTTCTGGCACAACGGAATGGCATTTTGGCCCAAATCTGTTTTTTTTTTATATCCCTAGTTCTTATACACTTAAAGACGAAACGCAGAGGCATAATTTCCAGGGGATGACGGAGTTGTCCTGGTCTGAAAACACCCGGTGACGGTACTGGCAAGTCACAATTAGACTCCAATTAGTGTGCTAACCGTGAATTTATCTGGCATGCTTGCTAGAGACTGCGTAAAAAAAAGTAATAAATGTGTGACAGATTGTACAGCGCTCCTTGCGGTTACTTTCAAGAACTAAAATCGTCCTAAGGTACTTTCACATCGGGCGCACGGGCTCGTGCGGCACGCTAGTCAACTGCTCACCCTGCTCTTGAGTGATTAGATTTTTTACGCACTCACTGCGTTTTATGTGATCATCATCATCATCAACAGCCCTTTACAGTCCACTGCTGGACTATGAGCCTCCTCCACTATAGTGGAGAGTTTTGCCATAATCTCCACGCTTGGCAGGCGGGTTAGAGATCGCAGTTTAAAAGATTGATGTTTTTCAGAGAGCGCTGCTGCCCGTTCTCTTTTTGATGTGTAGTCCCTAAGTCGCCTCTTACTCGTGGTAAATCTACTACTTACTTTTCATCTTCTGGCAGCTCGATGTACAGCGGCTGAAGCGTGATGTTGCGCAGATACAGCGGGTAGTCGCCAGCGAGGTAGGTGTGCGAGATCTCTGCCAGCGAGCGGTTGAACGCGGCCACGGCGGCGGCGGCCGAGCGCGGCGCCGCGATGCCGACGTAGAACGCGGCGCGAGCGTCCGCCTGGAGGACACGCAGCTCGCGCCCCGCAACGGTCCCGAGCTATGGATGAAACGATAAAAATCTAAATGTTTGTCACTATGTAGGCCTTTAGCCGGGCTAGGATGCGCGCCGTGATAAAATCTTATCGATGATTTTATACGATAAACGTACGGTTTTATCGCGTAAAAGCGAATGGCTCGATAAAAGCTTATCGCAGCGAGCATCTTAGGCTTACAGGGCATTTACGAGACGTGCTTATGCTCTACCACCACTTGGGGACAATATTATATGGGCTGGTTTGGAGAGGAAGTGGCAGAAGAAATTCAGTCTCCTCCGTCAGCTTCTACGAATCGCCCATGTTCATTTGTGTTTGTCTCGTGTTTTAATTTAATTAAAGCATTTTTTTGAGACTGAAAATTGCCTTCGAAAGGCAGTCATTAAACTGGCAAACATTTGGAAAAAATAATATTATTTGTAAGCACTACCATAACTAAAGAATACCCGATACCTACTTGTGTTTACTTTTAATCCAAGAATGATTTGATATGAATAAGTATCGATACTTTTCAATGATACCGAGCAAGTATCGATAAATTGAAGACCGATTATAGAGTAAAAGCAGAGTAAATACAAATGAGTAGGTCATCTTCATAGAAATGCACCGAGCGCGGTTTGTATGTGAGCGCACCAATATACGTATTAGGCGCGCACGCACACACTAACAAAATTCGGCGCACCTCACCGCAAATCACTGCTAAATTTTGTCAGTGTGCGTGCGCGCCGCATACGTGTTGGCGCGCTCACATACAAACCGCGCCCGTGCGTTCCTATAAAGATGACCTACTCATTTGTATTTACTCTGGTAAAAGTATCGATACCTGTGTGCCTACCATGAGTTTACGTTAGGTGAGCTCGCTAGCGAATACGTCAAAAAATTCTAAGAAGATTTTATTTCTTGAAAGTAGCCGCTAGGGGCGCTGCACAATATGTCATACATTTAATGTCATTTTTTTACGCAGTCGCTAGCGAGCACACCTAACGTAAACTCATGGTAGGCACACTGTTTTATCGTTTCAACTTACCGCGAGCACGACGCACGCGCACACCGTCGCCAGCGCGGCGCGCGCGCGCATCACGCCCCCCCGCGCCGGCCTCACCGCCGCCCGCGCCCCGCCCGCCCCCCGCACGCCGCCATCGCACCCCGAACACCATCCACGCTCAACGCCTACCCACCCGCTCCTGAGTTACGCGCGCGCACATTTAGCCACGACTCCACTTTGCACTGGTTCGGAACTATTCGCTAACTAACGAACGATGGACGGTTGTGATGTTGCCACTACTCGCGTATCTGTAACAAGAGATATTAACCTTAATTTCACATAGGGGCTAGGTATATGTTACAGTCAAAACTCATAATAAGTAACCATCAGTCAAAACTACTTTTAACTGCACAGTTGCCACTCAAAATTGGCACACGTGGTTAATTTACTTCGTTCACAGAAAAATACGCCTTAAAAGTAACTGCAAAGCATAATACACATAATGGTGCGCGAAAATAGCCTTATCCTTAAAAACTTAAAATAATTATGGGCACCCGCGAATTAGATTTTGGATTTTTTTGTGAAATCTACCACCAAAGTTGAATATTAAAATTGTTCAATAGAGCTTATTTAAAAAAAATAGACACTGTTTACAAAGTCACCCTGTATATGGTTTTAAACGATATGTTTATGAAATGAAAACAATACCAGCATACAACCAAATATCTTTCATAAAATCACTGTAGGTACAATTATAATATTCCTCTAAAAGAAAATATTTCAACAAACAAATCATTTCGATCAAACGTATCAACGTCAATAAATCGGTAGCTTATTTTTTCATTTTTTCTCAACATCCAAACAATTCAAATATCCATTCAACATGAATCTATTGTGTAGAGTTTACTTGTCAGTCCCTATTCGTTATTTTGTGCGTATTGTCTTGAGTTGTGGACGTTTCATAAAACAAACACAAAAGTATTTTCCCATATCTCTCGCGGTGTTCTAAAAAATCTTCCCAAGTGTATCCTCATTATTTTCGCAGTTTTTCGTGTAAGTCCCATCTTTATGTCGGGATCAATTTAGCCTGGGAGCCGTACTTGTCTCTACATAACCTATTTATTCTGACGAAAAAGCGTGTTTAGTTAACGTACCTCATTAATTATTTAGGGTGTACTTGTACTCACTGAGCCAAGGAAAACCCCACAATGTTCGAGTTCGCAATTTGATAGCGTACTTAGTTACATGCTATACTTTGAAGCTTTACCTCGGGGTTAATTAGACGAAGAATTCGGCTTTCATAAAGTTTTTTGTTTTAATCGATTAAAATACCATTGTAATTGGTAATGCCACTGTAATGTTACACTGTAGTATTCTTAAACTTGACTACTGACTAAGTGTTTTTTACTCAAGGAGACCGGATATGATGCATAATTTTCTTTGGCCGGTTACTTCACTTTGGTCCATTTTGACCGATGTTCTTTAAATTACAACTCATTATTACATAGTAACAAGTTTTCCATCAAAATGCTTGCTATTTCCCGCATTACTACCAAAGTTTTAATCTACACGTAGTTCAGTCAGACCCTCGTCACAAAACTCAAAATTACTAATTGAAAACGACACGCGGATCGCATCAAACACGTTGCGAATTCTAGTTATGTACCTACTTACTACATTAGTTTATACAGGGTGACTTGTGTAATCAGTATCCATTTTTTTAATAAGCTCTAAAGAACAATTTAGCAATACAACTTTATCTTTATTATTTTTAATCGTAGAATTTTCACGAAAAAAAAAATTAAGATCTTTACCTTAATTTTTAAAGGATTTTTCTATGAAAGAAGCAAATTATTCACGTGTGACAATTTTAAAACCGCGCGCAGCGGATAAAAGTAGAGTATGAAAAAAAAAACTGTTTTCTTTAGGTAAATCAATAAAGTTACTGATTCTTACGCTTCTTAAAATTTGGATACTGATTGCAAAGTCACCCTGTATACCAACAAAGTGATTGAAGACGACCATCGTTGAACCGTAATTACGGTTCATCATGTCCTTATTTGGGAATCGTAATTCTGTGTTGTGGAACAACGAGGTGTTATGTGGTTTAGGTTTATGTTAGAAGTGGACTAACGATGGACCCAAATTCCAGGCAGTTGGGAAAAGTGGCGTACTTTATAAAACAAAACCTATTACGGTAAAGTTTTTAACAATACTCTTACTATAATTAGCATAAATATTCGTTCGTTGGTTTCAGTCAAATGACGTCCATTGCTGGACAAATAAATGCTTCCTTTATACATGGTGTTCCCTATAAGGTGTCAAGCCGAAGGCAAGTGATAGGTGAGGACCATACCTACCTATCGATTTCATTCCTATGTATGATCTACGATTTTTCGTAGTTTTGAAGTTATCATTAATTTTATAAGTTTAAAAAAAATTTCGGAGTGTTTTTTGTAAATTCGTGTTGCTGTGAAATATCAGTTAAGTCTTTTTGTACTTCGTAAAGGCACAAAATACATACTTTGTAGAGGTTTTTATCCTTTATTTAGGCACACGAAAGTGAATTCATCAATAAATATTTGGATAAAGTTAATATTATAAGATTTATAACCACATGCAGTTATTTCCGAATAACTTACTCCAGCATAAAATCTTCAGCAACTAGTTAAAACAAGATTATGAAGACGCAAAGCAGCCTGCACTGAAGCTCGCAACAAATTGTCTGGAAACTTGCTCGGGGGGAAGAACGTTAGTCCTGCGTCCTTGTTTATACGAGGTAACACGCATGAACGTTTTAGAGACGATGGATTTATACGTTGATAAAATATAACTACAATATTACTGGAAAATGCTTTTGTTCCTGTTAGGACTGTTGATTTTTCGGGTATGGTACAATCAAACATACGATTTGAAAAGAAATCGCAAGAAATCTATTTATTGCAAAGAAAATAATTGTCAATAAATAATATTTGTTTAATTAACGATTTCTCCAAACATAATTTTAATACATAAGACAGTGTTCATTTTATATCACAATTTATAAATAGTCAAAAGCACAGGGATTAATTAATAATTCAAAAGTATCACCAATTACAATTTCATAAGACACAACATTCTTTATTAATCTCGTTGTGTCCTCTTATTTGCTAATTTATCTTCCTTCTTTAAGGTTACAGCTGTCTTTTCCCATTAATTCTCTCTCTCCTTAAGATAGGTTATGCAATTTGAGCCTGCAATTAATCCTAAGCCAATCTTTTTTTCCAATTACGGAGAAAGTGTCACTTAAATCGGCTTTCCTATTAATTAAAATGCCGTTTCGGGGTTAATGGTTTTTCGTCATTTATAAGAAACTGTTGTGCTTCAGGACGACAATGGTCGGACTTTATTACGGTCCTGTTAAAACTTAGAGATTCATCGGCTTTCAAAACTCCAGTAAAATTTTAAGTTGAATTTCTCAATATATGTAGTTAAAATAGCCACAGGCAATTAGATGTAGATCTTAATTTAAACTCGTAATTTAAAGTGTAGTCGACAGTACCTACATCAGTCTAAACATTGTATTGTGATATCGCTTTTATTGCAACTATAAAAATATTTTTCATGACCGTAACCAAATTGTAAGTAGGTACAATCTTAAGAAAAGTTTGCAAATTACTGTAAAAATTTACAAATGTACTTACATTACCATAAATAGTAATGAACAAGTATTTTTACAATAACTGATAGCCAACTACGTAAATAGGTACCTATCTCAAATAATTATCTCATTTTGACGCGTGACCGTTGTTTAGCTTTATCTTTTGTCAAACGAATAAAGTTACACTGAACTTTCCGAACAGTAAGTAAATCACAATTGGATTCTGTTTCGGCCGTTCTCATTATTCTCATCTACCCGAAAGACGCTAGTAACAAATCAAATCAATCAAATTAGAGTCGAAGCCAAGCGTCTGATATAACTTGACGACTATGTATATTGTATGGCCTACGACAGCCAATAATAAAGTAGAAAAAAACAATGACTCGATTAGGCATTGAAGTTTTTCAAATCTATACGCCAAGTGTACCAGCAGAAAACCAAGATCAAGTGCGTGTACAAAAAACCACATAACCAATTACCAAGCAGAGACCGTTTCATAAAAGCTTTAACTAGATTAAAATAAGGATTGTTCACTAATTTATTCCATTAGGTGGATGAAAACTATTATTTTTAACGCTTTAAACCTTACAGCATCAAAGTAATAAAATATAGACTGAAAAGGAAACATACTTGTTTATGGAAATTAGAGAAATTAAACGTCCGCTGATTGTCTACATAGATTGAAAAGATTCATCTCTTCTCGATAACAATTTTACAGCTTTTGGTGTTGTTTCAAAAACAGATGACCCGCAACTCTCCTAACACCGAAAACAGTGTTATCTTGAGATTTGAAACGGTCTCACCCGAACCCAATCTTAATGCTCTCGCAAGAATGTTTTTATGGCAGCCAAATTGACTTGAGTTTCTACTCCAATTGGAATAAATTGGGATGGTTATATTGTGCCTGGGGCAATTTTTTCTAACCTTTTAATGGAGGGAATTGTTTTAAGACATTTAAGTTGGCAGAGGTAAAGTTACGGTGTAATTTACTTTCGAGAATCTGAATAAAGAAGCTTTTATTTCGTGATAAGGATCTAGTTCAACAGAGAAGTAATTGCATGTTTTCATTCACCGTTTTCTTTACTATGTTGAGGTCAAATACTTAATATCAATTTATAAGAAAACACGTGCATTTTGTTGATTCCAAGTACGAAAATATATGAAAGAATAAGCAACTACAAAACGGAGCTTTCAGTTTGCTGGAACTTACTTCACAAGAAATTAAGCACATGCAGTACAGTTTCCACAACTCCAACTGATGTTGTTGGAATATCAACTCCAGCATTAATTTCATTTTACACGGAATCCTTTACTGTATTGTATTTGCTATAAAGTTTGTAAGACTGTGTCTCATTACAAGGCAAAAATAAGTATCTCGTATGGACGCTCAAACGACTAAAAAATCAGAGAGAATAATGATGGAAACAACCACCTGTTACTAAACTTTAAGCCTACTA